CCCGCATCACGCTCTGTGCTGACAGCTTGCTCAGAGCCCGCAGCCGGCTTCAGATTCTGTGTCTCCTTCTCTCTCTCTGCCCCTCCCTGCTCATGCTCTGTCTCCTTCTGTCTCTCAAAAATAAATAAATGTTAAAAATTTAAAAAAAAAAAAGTAAGGAAGTGCTTACGAAGTACACACACGCACACACACACACACACACACACAGACACATGGAGGGGTATGTCGAAGGGACACAAGAGCCAACAGAAAGAGCTCCCAATGGCCACAGCTGGGACAATCTGAGCAATAAACGAAATAACAGTATTGTATTATAACCCAGCATAAAATACATGTCCATGAGCCTATACTAATGGATATAAATGATTTAATAAATGAAAAAATAAATGGGGGAGAACAAACCTGTACTGAACCCCAAATAATTTATGTAAATAATCCCCTCTCAAGGAAGTGATGCATAACTTCTATCTATCATCTATCTATCTATCTATCTATCTATCAATCATCTATCTTTATCAAGACAGCACAAGTGAGGAAGGGGCAGAGGGAGAGAGAGAATCCCAAGCAAGCTCCACACTGTCAGTGCAGAGCCTGACGCAGGGCTCAAACTTATGGACCGTGAGATCGTGACCCCAGCTGAAATCAAGTGTCAGATGGTTAACTGACTGAGCCACCCGGGCGCCACATCGCCCCACTGTTTTAAGTGTGGGGCGGGTATAATGACTTCCTTCCAAAGAGTTCAGTATGGAAAGGGAGAAAAATTAGAGTACGTGACAATCACTACCTGAGGTAGGTGACCAAACTGACATAACAGTGACAAGACATGTTGATAGCACGTGCCCCCTCTGCATTATGAAGTAATGAGAATGGCACTTTACTCCTGGGGCTTCCTTCCTGAAACACATTACCCCAGTCTAACCATGCAAAAAGCATCAGAGAAGCCCAATTGAGGAATATTCTCGAAAATACCCAACGACTGGTATTTGACAAAAATGTCAAGATCATACAAAAAAAGGAAAATCTGAGAAACAGTCACAGCCAAGAGAAGCCTAAGGAGACGTGTCATGTGATGTCAGGAAAAGGGCAGCAGAAAAAGAACATTAGATAAAAACTAAGAAATATGAATAAAGTATGGGCTGTAGTTAATTTTAAAAATATGTATTAAAAGTATATATGTCCAAAGCAAAAAATAAATAAATAAAAGAACTTTTGGAAATTAAATTGTATTGGCAGAAATGAAAACTCTTAGTAGTAAACAGGTTGGGAGAATAAATTAAATCTCCTATTTAGTACGAGCAAAAAAGATAAGATGCCCAATAAAAAACATAAGAAAGGAGAGGCTAGTCTAGTAGCTCCAACCTCTGAAATAAGGGAGGCCAGACACACAGAAAGAAATCCACCAAAAAGTAATTCAAGGAAAGTTCCCAGAATGGAGGGGCAGGAGGTACAAGCCTGAAGTCAACACTAAGTAAGAAGATACCCAAGACCCCTTGCTGTGATATTTCAGAACACAGGGGGAGACAAAGAAGGAAATAAAAAGGTCCCCTGTATCAGAGTGACTTTGAAGTTCTTAAACTGTGAACAAGATAACAGAGCATCACGTTTACAATTCTGAAGAAAACATTTTTTTGGTGACCTAGAATTCTATGTGTAACTAAACCCCCAGTCACATGTGAGGAATAATGCCATTTATTTCTCAAGGTCTCAAAAGTTTACCTCCCAGGCTCCTTTACTCAAGAAGGATGTATTCCACCAAAATGAAAAAAGGAAACTAAGAAGGAAGACATGAGATATGGGAAGAGGACAAGGGAATCCCTCAGAGGATGATGGAATGATCCCGGTACAGCAGCTCTGCTCCAGATGTGGAGGGCAGCTGAGCTGTCCTGCCTCAGTGTGACCTGAGAGGCAGACAGCTGGTCATCACCAAGACTCCCCCCACCACTTCCATTGGACCATTCTCCTAACCCAAGGACAGATCACCCAGGAGAGCTTGGCCCAGATTCTCACCAGGACTTGGCTTGTTGTGACCGTGTGCTGCTGAGGGTATCTCCCCTCATGCTCTGCTTAAGACACACATATCACTCCCAGAAGTTCTCAGCTTTTCCCTGAGAGCCAGAGGGCCATGGCGGGCTTGGAAGTGGAAAGTACAGGGCAGCCCATTCCTTCTGACCGTACCTCTGTTGGGTACCCGGTGCACACCTCAGCCTTGCCAGGCGCCCAGCTGTGGAGAGCCCTGTGTTTCCCCAGAGTCACTTGTGAGCTTGCTTGCCACTTCCCCAGAAGGGGCCTTGTTAGCTCCCAGTGAAGGGGAAGTCAGCCCCTGGACCCGGGAGAGTGCTCTCCTCACCCCACTCCTGGAGCTTCTGTCCAGCGGGGGCAGTGCTGCCCTCTCCTTGCACAGCTCGTGTGTGCTTGCCTTCTGTTTTTGAGACTAGGTGGTATATGACTTGGGGAGAGATACACAGGTAGAACTATAATGAAAAGCAAGAGACTGATTTGTACAAAAGTCAGAATGGTCATTGTCTCTTGGGTGTAAAAATGAAATGGGTCTCTCTAGGTCTTGTCCAGATAAAAATGTTCTGGCTAGTTCATAAAGTCTCCTAACCGCTGAAATTGTAATGACCACGGTCTGGTTAAAAAGGCAGAAGCCAGCACCAGTAGTATTTCCAGCAGGACTTATGCCCTGGTTAATCTGTGGGAAGGGCTGGTGGATGTGGGTTGGAGAGTGCCGCTGTGGCTCCTGGGCTCCTGCCAGCTCTTCAGAAGCGGGATTCTGGGGGCGCCTGGGTGGCTTAGTCGGTTAAGCATTCAACTTCCCCTGAGGTCATGATCTCATGATTCGTGAGTTCGAGCCCCACGTCAGGCTCTGTACTGACAGCTCAGAGCCTGGAGCCTGCTTCAGATTCTGTTCTTCAGATTCTGTTCTACAGATTCTCCTTCTCTCTCTGCCCCTCCCCTGCTCTGCTCTGTCTCTGTCTCTCAAGAATAAATAAACATTGAAAAAAAATTTTTTTAAAAAGCAGGATGCTGCTGTAGTTGCAGGAAGCCTCTGCTGGTGGCCCCCACTGTGGGGTAGGTGAATTTTAGGCAATATTGCCATGGCGAGTGCTTTGGGGCTAAGGGCCATGGCAGGACCTCCTATCTGCTGAAGCCACACTTCTGTCTGCTTCTGCCAGGGGAGAAATAAACAACATGATTTCTCAAAAACAATATGACTTCTAAAGTATCTTCCAAATCTTCCATGATGCTTCTCACTGGTGGAATTTAACCTGGAAATGTAATTCCCAGGTTTCCAAGTCTTGTGATACAGGGGACAGCATAGAAGAGGATGGAAAAGTTAATGAGTAGCCCACAGATAATTCTGAACAAAGGTCTGATGCTATACTAGAGCTACTCAAACCGACCAGTGGTCATGAGGACATAGTGGTCATGAGGACAAGCCTCTGGGAGAGCCACTTTCATTGGGAGCCTAAAGTCAGACCCCACAAGCCTTCAGAACCCTATCTCTAGCTTCTGATCTTCCTGCCTGATTATATCAATAAAATCGGTGACCAAGATAGACTCATGGAAATAAAAAAGTATACATTAGAGAGTTTCACATGCCTGCATGATGCTTTCAGGTTCTGGGCAGCCATCTGAAAGAGCATCACATGGTCCAGCCCCCTTCAACAGCTCTTCAGTGGACTCAATGAAGAGTCTCAAACATCCTGCATTTTGTTTCATCGTGTAAAATAAACAGTCTTCATTTTCATACAAGAAGGACACAGGTCACAAGTGTGGGCACAGCACCATGGGCTACCAAGAAACAGGGCTTGGGGTGCCTGGGTGGCTGAGTGGTTTAAGTGTCTGACTTTGGCCCAGGTTGTGGTCTCATGGTTCGTGGGTTCGAGCCCTAAATCGGGCTCTGCACTGACAGTGCAGAGCCTGCTTGAGATTCTCTCTCTCTCCTCTCTCTCTGCCCCTCCCCTACTCATGCTTTCTCTTTTTCTCAAAATAAACTTCAAAAGAAAAGAAAGAAAGAAAGAAAGAAAGAAAGAAAGAAAGAAAGAAAGAAAGAAATGGGGCTCACTCCCACCAGACACTGCTGAGTTCCTGTTTTGAGAAGCCCTCACAATCCAAGTACACAAAAAGAATGAGAATAACAAAAATCCAAATGCACAAGCCAAAAAAGAATTGTACTGTCTTTATTGTCTTAAAATTGCATAGTATCTTGATTGTGCACGCTTTTAAACAGAGGGCAAGATAGCCCACTTGAAAACTACTTTCTTGCATGGGATATTTCAAGCTGTTTTACTATAGGTAGAAGCAGGGACCAAAAATGCTGCCTGGGCTTAAAAAGAACCATGATCAAATTTAACAGAAGTTGGAGAGTCAGAGGGATTTATAGGAGAAGAATCTGTCAAAGGACATTGAGATTTTGAAAGGATTTACAGGAGGCACAGGGAAATGGTGGGAGGGCTTCCCTGACATCAGGGGACTGGGATTCAGGGGCAGCCAAGAGAGGGCAGGAGAGGAGAGAGGAGTGCAGGGAGGCAATGCCTTGTGCTCAAATCTGAGATGAATGCCCTCTGCCAGGAGGCTGGGGTGCATGGTCTGGGCATTACATTGGCTACAGAAAGCCACATACTAGAAAAATAACTTAAAAGCTATACAATCATCATTATAAATATTTTGTCTTTCAAAACTAACTAGCGTTGGTTACAAAAAGGTTCACAGTTACTCTGAAGAGAGCTGTGTCTCTATTGCACAGTAGTGGAAAAGTCCGCTCTGATCCCCATGTGTAAACAATGATTCCCTTCTCCTCTGGCGACTTCAGGACACAGAGAAACAGTATCTGCTGTGAGCAAAGCACTTGGGTACAAGGCACGTGAAAGCTTGTCAAGTTCTACTGGGATCTACTTGGAACACACAGAACGCCTGCTGTTCTTCTCACTTGATGTCACCGGGACAGGCCTTGAACCACACTGCAGGTGGTGATGGCCTTCTCGGGCTCTTGTTCTCTATTCCACTGTTACAGACTTGGCCAGATTTCTGGGGAAGTCGACCTGCAACGATACATAGAAAGGAGCTGCTCAGGAGCCCACAGATCCCAGCAACCTGCTGTATTATAAAGCCTATTATCGGGGTACTTGAAGACGAGGTGATGGGTGTTCCCGGTCACCTTTGACCATGAGCCCCTGGAGACCTGCATCTTGGAAGCATTCCTTACTCCAGGAACTTCACTCAACTATAGAAGGTTTAGTTCATTCAATATACGTTTATTGTGCACCTGACATGTGTCATGCTGTCTGTGTTAACCCTATTAAAAGGATATGATGCATGCTATTAAAATGCTAACTCAGCTTGTCCTGTTCACGTTTCTTGGAAGGAGACACACTAAATCCATGAGGCTCATTAGTTCAGGGTGGGGGCTGAGAGGAAAATGTGATGGGAGATGGTTGATATGGTAGGCTTCAACTTTATCTGCAGTGTCTTATATTGCTTAGTTATTTTAATTTTAATTTTTTTAATGTTTATTTCATTTTGAGAGACAGAGAGAGACAGAGAGACAGAGAGAGAGAAAGAACACGAGTGAGGGAGGGGCAGAAAGAAAGGGAGACACAGAATCCGAAGCAGGCTCCAGGCTCTGAGCTGTCAGCACAGAGCCTGACGCGGGGCTCAAACCCATGAACCGTGAGATCATGACCTGAGCCGAAGTGGGATGCTTAACTGACTGAGCCACCCAGGCACCCTTATTTGGCTCTTGTTTTTAAAAGAGAAACAGGGGTGCCTGGGTGGCGCAGTCGGTTAAGCGTCCGACTTCAGCTCAGGTCACGATCTCGCGGTCCGTGAGTTCAAGCCCCGCGTCGGGCTCTGGGCTGATGGCTCAGAGCCTGGAGCCTGCTTCCGATTCTGTGTCTCCCTCTCTCTCTGACCCTCCCCCGTTCATGCTCTGCCTCTCTCTGTCTCAAAAATAAATAAACGTTAAAAAATAAATAAATAAATAAACGTTAAAAAAAAAAAAAGGAGAAACAAATAGGACAAAATGTTAGCCATGGCAGTTCTGGATTTGTATACCACCAGGTACTTGTTACATTGTTTTCTGTAAGGTTATGTATCTTCAAAAGCTTCTCAAAATACAATTGTAATAAAACTATTTCTATATGCAGTGAATTGTAGGTTCTTCCATACTTGTTGGTGGTTCTTTTCTGGAACATAAATTGATGATATATGTTTGGAGTCTCAAGGGGCACCTGGGTGGCTCAGTCGGTTAAGCATCTGACTTCGGCTCAGGTCATGATCTCATGGTCTGTGAGTTCGAGCCCTGCGTTGGGCTCTGTGCTGACAGCTCAGAGCCTGGAGCCTGCTTCAGATTCTATGTCTCCCTCTCTCTCCCTGCCCCTCCCTGGATTGCACTCTCTCTTTCTGTCTTTCAAAAAGAAACATTAAAAAAAAATTAAAAAAGGAGTCTCAAAATGTTGAATCATTTGCTAGACTGAGGAGATATCTTAAATGTGGGAGGAAGATGTACATACAAAGATGTTCACTGCAATTGTGATTTATGCAGATATTCTCCCAAATCAGCAACAGTTTAAATAATAGAAGACCGGCTAAGTCATTGTTATAATCCATGTTATAAGACTATGTTGGGATATTGTGCAATGATTAAATGTTGCTTACATGAAACTCAAGATGTAAGAAAATACTTGTAAATACACTCAAAAGGAAAGTGTAAAATGTCATCCTTGATATACTGTCAAAAATGTTAAAAAATCCACATGCACAAGGAAAAGACTGGAATAAATGATTAAATTTGCTAATTAACATTGCCTCTCTGAGTGATGAGTTTAATGATATGGTCTTCGTAATCTTGCAGTCCCAAATCGTTTTCAAGGGATAGAAGTTACTTTAAAAACAGAGTTGTTTTAAATGAAATTACCTTTCCTATGAATATTTACACCAAATAAGCATTTAAGAACAAAATCAGGAGTGCCTGGGTGGCTCAGGTGGTTAAGGGTCTGACTGTTGATTTTGGCTCAGGTCAGGATCTCACAGCCCCATGTCGGGCTTTGTGGAGCCGGCTTGGAATCCCCTGTCCTTCTCTCAAAATAAGTAAATAAACTTAAAAAAAAAAAAAAGAAAAGAGTCAGACTCTGGGGTTATGCTTTTCCCCTCTGGGGGATTCGGTGCGATTTTAGACATACGTCATATCCTCGGAGAACAGCCAGGTGGAAGGACAGGAGCTGCAGCGGAATCACACTCAGGATACCCTGGAGGCAGTCCACTGTGTGGGGCAGCTCGATCGTTTTATACGCAAACTTGGAACTCTCAGTGTCGTCCCTGGAGCACAGTATGATCGGCCGACCCTAGAGCAGGAAAATAGGATCACAATGGGCAGGTGGTCTCTGAAAGCAGCAACCCCTCACATACCAGCAGTTTCTGAGGTCAATCTTATTGAGGGGATAACAGTCCTCTTTTGCTTTTGTGGAATTATGTGTGAGGTGATGTGCACGACCAGTGTGAGGGGCAAGGTGTTTGATGCTGTTTGGTGAGTTCCTCTCCCTTCCATGGTAGGATGACTGCCATTCTGAGCCATTCATCCAGCACCCATTTGTTGAGTGGCTTCCATGTGCCTTGCCAAGGGCAGGGCATGCCCACTCCTCACTCTGAGGGGACTCATAGCTGAGTGGTAGAAAATAAAAATGTAAACAAGCCAACCAATGAGTAACGATGAATTCCAGATGAATGCCAGAAAGGCAATAAAACATGGTAATGTGATTGGGAGACACTGGTGAGGTCTGGGAAGCCCTCTCTTAAAAGGGGATGTTTGGACTAAGACGTGAATAACCACAGGCCAATTCTCTGAAAGAGGTGGGAAGCACATCCAGGGCAGAGGGAATAGCCAGAGCAGAGGTTCAGAGGCAGAAATCAGCTGGGCTCCTTCAGCTTGGGACACAGAAGGAAGGGGCCACATAATGCCGGCTTGTGGTCACTCTTGTTTTATGGGAAGCCACCGGGAGGTTTCAAGCAAGGCAGTGAAGTGATTTGTGTTTTATACCTTCTCTCTGGCCACCGTGCCGAGCCAGGCATGGCGGCCACTGGCTCAAGGGCATTGTTGGACTTCACCTCCCTATAACTTCATGAGCCCTCCCAGGATGGATCTGTGGGGGCTTTGCACTCCCATCTCAGGGCAGCTCCACGCCTGGAATCTGGGGCAGCTCGGGGCAGTCTGGGTCACAAGGTCTCACTGAAGAGCCATTGTGCACGTGGCCACAGGCTGGCCAGTCATTTCTGAATGTGTGTGCCCCTCAGGAGGGGGCCTAGGAGAGAGCACATGATCACACCTGCTCAGTGCTAGGGCTGCTCATAACCAGTGCTGGCCGACAGTGGGTGAGGTGGGCTTGTGTGGGAGAGGACAGGAGAGAAGGGGACCCTGGCCCAGCTGAGAGCTCTCACCTGGCGGGCTGTGACCTGCTGCAGGGCATTCTGGCATTTGGCAAAGCAAGGGTCCTTCATGATGACCATGATGACGGGCATCTGCTTGTCAATCAGTGCCAAGGGTCCGTGCTTCAGCTCCCCCGCCAGGATGCCTTCTGAGTGCATGTAGGTTATCTCTTTAATTTTCTAGGGAAACACAAGGCGGGGTCAGTGTGACACTGGACAGACAGGGGGCTGGAGCAGATCAGTCAGAGAGGGGAGGAAGGGGAGCTGTGGGAGGGATGAATCCAGAAGGCAGGGAGCTGAGGGCTGCAAGGCGGATGAATGCATTAGGTGGTCAACAGCAATGAGGGCTGCTGGCAATGCCAGGCCCAAGGGAGAGGGCTGGCTGCTGTCCAGAGCATGCACAAGGCCCAGCACGCAGCCTGTGTCCCCCAGACCAGCCCCCAGCACAGCCACCACCCTTGGATAGACAAGTCAATGTCGATCTGGCTCTCCCTTCTGCTGTGTGACTAACCTGTGGCCTCCCCACATTTATAAATTGTAATGATGGCACTGTATTCTATCTAGAAATACCTTTCTTCAATTATCCGATAGATCATCCCCCCGAATCTAGACCATTAATAACTTCCAGAGGGATGCTCCAATTTACTTATGAGGCAAAATCACACACATCAGGCCGTTACTAGAATTTCCCCCTATGTTCAGGAGATCCGTTTCTATTCAGTTCCCATTAAACCTACGTCACTGAACTGCTGAGTGTCTAGTAAAATATTTCTCAGCTCCCCTAGAACTATTTATTTGGGGGGGGGGGCAGGACACTGTCAGGAGTGTGGGTGACTCCGCCCTGAATGCCACAGACAGCTGGAGTGCTGGCCCCCAGGAGACCACAGAGAGACCATTGATGTGTGCCAGGAGCAGCGTCAAAGCTTCTTTCTTTCCCCCCAAGACTGACTGGGAGCTGCAGTTGAATACGCATCTTTCAGCAGCGCGCTGGGGGCACTGCAGCTGAGCCCCCCCGACCCCCTGCACCAGGCGGCAGAGGCATGGGGGGAGTTGAAAGTGTACTCCACCCAGCCCCCTGCAGCGACCTGCTCCCTACTAAGAGGAGGGGAGCCAAGCTGGGTCAGGAAGGATGCCCTTGCCCGGGTACCAATGGCTGCCTCACCTGTGACCCTGTCTCCCGTTTTCTTTGGTTGGGCAGTCCCATCCACAAGCAGCAAGCAGACAGTGAGTGTAGGCTCAGCCCCCTGGACAGCACTGTCTCACCCTCTCTGTGGCTCTGTGGTCCTGGAACCTGCCCCTTACCCAGCTCTCTTACTCAGGTTTGGCTCTTTACTGCCGCAGTGGGACAAAACAGCCAGTTAAAAGTTTGACAAAAGCAGGGCCTTCAGAGCTCACTCCTTCAGGATCTCTGCATCCCCTTGGAAGTTTGAGGGGTAACAGGGAAACTCCACAGAGAGCCTGCCCCACAATTCTCATCGGCCTGAATCCTCCCGCACAGTCTGCTTGTGGTCGTGGAAATAACCCAAGGCCACATGGCCCTGAGTTTGAATCTCAGACCAATCACTCCCTCCTGAGCAAGATGAACCTTTGGGGGTCCAGTTCCCTCCTAGGTGAAATGTGGACAATAACTGCCAGCTTCTCAGAAGACGCTCATGAAGAACGAATGGACCATCCCACATGGAGCCTGGTGCAGGTTGACACCTCAGGGGCTCACCCAAGGGTGCCCTGCCCCTTTCTCCTCAGGAGATTGGGAGCGTCCACCTCAGGATCCCCAGGGCCCGAACAGGTCATGAGCTGGTGCTTGATGCAGCCTCACACAGGTGGCAGCAAGTCCCCAAGCGCTCCCCTCCCCTGGCCCAGCGCCCTTCCCCCGTTCCCGCTGGTGTCTCGGGGTGTCTCCCATGTCTGCCCTCATGCCCAGGCTGGTGGAGGTGGGGGGGGGTGGGCAAAGGAGGCTCACCAGGGCTCCTTCCAGGCATGTGGCATAGTTATAGCCCCGTCCCATCACCAGGAGTGACCTCTGGGTGTAGAGCTCCAGGGCCAGGTCATGAATCTTCTCGTCCAGCGACAGCACTTCCTTAATCAGCCCTAAGCCGCAAACACAGTGAGGGGTTGTGAGTCACACAGATTTTACAGCAAGATTCACAAAGAAAAATCATGGTGTATAAGACATAGTTTTGGAATTCACACCACTTAATACACTTGGCTTCCTTGCCTCGGTTTAAAAAGGATTTTAAATGTAAGAGCACCTGGGTGGCTCAGTTGGTTAAGCATCTGACTTCAGCTCAGGTCATGATCTCACAGTTCGTGGGTTCAAGCCCCATGTTGGGCTCTGTGTTGATGAGCCTGGAGCCTGCTTAGGATTCTGTGTCTCCCTCTCTCTCTGCTTCTCCCCCACTCTGTACCCCCCCCCCAAGAATAAACATTAAAAACAGTTAAATGTAGATTTTGGGCAATAACTTGCGGGATTTGCCTGGGTTTTGTTGGGTGGCAATTCATATTTATGTTCATACTTTCTTGAGCATGTAAGATAAGCAGTGAGGTGTTATTTCTAACTCCATTTTATAGGTAAGGCAACTGAGGCTCAGAGAGGCTAAGTCACCAGGTGGAAAGACACAGAGCTGACACTCCAAATTAATGCCCCCCCCCCAATCCAGGCCACATGCTAAATCTAGAGACAATGCCCAGTGTAAGATGGACCAGTGTTTCCCAAACTTTTTGTTCTCAGGACTTCTTTATTCTTAAAAATTACTGTGAATCCCTAAGAGCCATTATTTTTGTTGGTTCTGTCTCTCAATGTTTACCAGATTAGAAACTGAGAAAAGTAAAGATATTTGTATTCATTCATTTAAAAGTAACAATAAACCTATTACACATTTTTAAAAATTAGTGAGAACAGTAGTTTTAAATTTTTGGAGATTTTTTAAATGTCTGACTTTTTAACAAAGACAGATTCTCATATCTGTTTCCTCATTCAAACTCTCATGATACATTTTTTTTTTTTGGTTGAAGTATAGGAAGAAAATCCAGCCTCACAGAGATTTGTAGTTGGAGAAGGGAGGAGTATTTAAATAACTTTTTCAAAAAATTGTGAATGTTCTTCTCTGATATTACATGAAACTCAAGAAATGGTCATTTCTTTTTTTTTTCTAATTAGTTAATTAAGTAATCTCTGCAGGCTTAAACACATGACCCCAAGATCAAGAGTCACATACTCTAGTGACTAAATCAGCCAGTCTGGAGAAACAGTAATTTCTTAAAAGAGTAGTTGCAAATGTAGAATTTGAAATCATCTCAATAAGCTTTTCCTACCTTGTTACATTAAAACTTTTATTTTTTTTTTAAGTTTATTTACTATGAGAGAGAGGAGAGACAGACAGACAGAATCCCAAGCAGGTTCCACACTGTCAGTGCAGAGCCTGAAATGGGGCTTGAACTCACCAACTGTGAGATCATGACCTGAGCCAAGATCAAGAGTCTGACACTTAACCGACAGAGCCACCCAGGCACCCCTATTGCATTTATTTAATTTTTTTAAATGTTTTATTTTTGAGAGAGAGAGAGAGACAGAGCATGACTGGGGAGGGACAAGCAGAGAGGGAGACACAGAATCGGAAGCAGGCTCCAGGCTCTGAGCCATCAGCACAGAGCCCAACATAGGGCTTGAATTCACAAACCACAAGATCACGACCTGAGCCGAAGTCAGATGCTTAACTGGCTGAGCCACCCGGTGCCCCAATCTTGCATCTATTTAAGTGGATGTTTTACATGGTGTATAATTTTGTCACATCATGCATTGACCATCTGGAAAACATAGGTTGACTGAGTTATGCAAATCTTCTAAAAATGGACACACTTCATCATAAAATATTTTTTAGAAATCACATATGCTAAAGTCACCATGGCTTCATCAGAGTTGTGTTTAAGTGTGGGAAGTGGTCGAGCTCATGCTGGCAGCTACAAGTTTTCCCAAATCCTAAATTTCACTGGAGAGCTTGAAGTTTATCACTGGCAACAAATACTGTCAGTTTTTCTTCTTTAGAGTGGCGGGCTAACTTTGTTCATTTTTGAGAAAACATCTGCCAAGTACTCTAATCAGCTTGTTACTCAAACAATCCCAGGATGCTTTTCTTGGAAACAGAATACTAAAGAGTGTTGCGATTTACTAAGACTAATGCATTTTACTGCCTCGTGAAGAAGTCCTTGAGTGAAGTGGGGTGTGTGGAGGCATGTGCTAAGGTGCCAGCGGTAGCCACCGCTGCCTTTGCAAATGTCCACACGGCAAAAAACGCAAACACATCTTATTTGTTATAAATAGCATGTTTGCTGTGAAAATAGTAATAGGACCTGCAGACCACATCTTGAGAACGGCTGACTTAGACATCAGGATAGAGTCCTGTTTTCGCACTGTTGGTACCTGGCTGAAGGTGAAGACCAGTTTTTTGTCAGTAAATTTTCAGCATGTTGTGTGGGCCAGATTCAGATCTCTAGGCTTTGTATGATTAGATGCTGGCTTTCCCTCACTGCCTTCTCTGGGGTTTGCCCCTGGCTCCCAGGATGGACCCAGTGCCTACCCCATCTCTGGAAGGGGCTGTCCCACAGCCTTGTGACCATCCTGCCCCCCGCATTTCATGTCAGCCAAGGGGTGAGGTCTGTTTCATTTTGCAATCTCAGGGCTGCACAAAGAAAACCCAATAGGTCTCTCTCCTTCCCTGGAGAGCAAGTGTCTGAAGGAAAGGAGCTGTTATCTCCTTGGCCCTCAGGATGACACACGGGACAGGGCACACCAGTGGGCGAATGATGGAAACCATTGTCCCCCCCAAAAGCTTGCGATTCAGTGTGATAAACACTGCATCTCACCGACTACAATAGATGGGAGGGACCCAGCCAAAGAGGGAAGTTTGGGGAGACTGACGGAGCACTCCGGTTCAGGAAAAGGCTCAGGGCCATCTGCTCCTTCTCAGATATTTCCTGAGCACCTACTCCATGCCTGCCCTGGCTGGATATCAGCAGTGACCCTGACAGTTAGGGTTATATGCTCACTGAGCTGACATACTCATTGGGAGACAAGCCAGCACACTGGAGGACAGGTAATTTCATACCATGGCACACGCTATAAAGAAAAGAAATGGGCTAACATTTCACAGCTGGGGCAGGGGGTTAGTTAGGATAGCAAGGAAGGGTTCCAGGAGGTGACATCTGAACTGAGACTTGAATAATGAAAAGCCATCAGTTGTATGGAGAGCTGGAGGAAGAGGGCTCCTGTAAAGGAAAGGATCAGTGCAAATGTCCTGTGGTAGACAGCTTGGTATTGCTGAGGATCAGAAGGTCAATGAAGGAGCCCAGGGAGGGGAAGGAGAGTGGGATGAGGTCAGAGGTGGCAGGGGTCCAGTGTGCAGTGTTCAAGGACCCGGAGAGGAGTGAGGACTTTAATCTTGGCCCAGTGGGAGCTTCTGGAGGCATTTCGTGGTGAGTAGGAAGTTTTGAAGAGGAGGAAGTGATTAACAGCATTGTTTATGGGAAAGAGTCAAAAGAGAAAGCAACTAAGGACAGTCTACTAGATTTCAAAATAAGGAAAGTTTCATTCTGAAACATACCAGGTAAAGACTGTAAACCATGGATGATCTCTCGCCTTCTGTTTTGCAGTGAAATGCGGTCTTCAGACATCATCAAACCAAACATCACCAGGGAGATGAACTGACTGGTATAAGCCTGTGGATAAAACGGTGACTCTGGCAGAGCAGGGGCGAATGTGTGCATGTGAACCACGCAGGAGGAGACAGATTGTTGGGAGCGCCCCCTCCCCAACCCACAGCCTCCTGTCCACCCATCTGGTCGAAGCCCTCCCTCAGGACACATGCAGGAGGTGACTACCTTGGTGCTGGCCACGCCGATCTCTGGTCCTGCGTTGATGTGGACACCGCAGTCGGTCTCTCGGGAGATGGAACTGCCCACGGTGTTGGTGACGCCCACGGTCAGGGCCCCACGGTCCTTACAGTAGCGCAATGCCAGGAGGGTATCTGCGGTCTCACCTGCCACACGGGCCCCACCTTTCAGCCATGTGTTCTCAGGAGCATGGCTCTGCCAGCTCAAACCCCCTGTCCCCCAACTCATTTACTCTTTTATGCAGAAATCAGGGCCCACAGGCAGCCGGCGTGTGCTCAGAAAGGAAAACGCACACTCAACCATGTTTCCGGTGGATTCTTGGATTCAAGATTCAGCTGCTATTTATGTGGGAAGCACTTTCTCATCCGCTATGTCATGGAACTCTCCTGGCAACCCCATGGGGCCATTGTCCCCATTCTCCCCGTGAGGATGAGATCCCCAGAGATGGAAGAAACCAAAGCCTTGCTCCTTCAGGGCCATGCAGCTGTGGGCGACAGACTGGTGCCAACCCAGGTGAGCCAGGTGCCCAGCATCCTTTCTAGGACTTTAAGCTGCCTTCTTCAGAATGTGCTGAGATTTAACATTTAAAAAGCAAGAATGTGAGGCGCTTGGCTGGCTGAGTCGGTTGAACGGTTGAGCATCCAACTTCGGCTCAGGTCATGATCTCATGGTTC